CTTCTTTTTCTTCTCTTCTGCAACCTCCATGGTTCCAGCTGGAAAGAGCTGTAATTTTCAATGTATAGATTTTTCACTTTCTTTGTTAGATTCATTCCTAAGTACTTCAATTTTGGGGATTCTATTGTGAAGGATGTGGTTTCCCTAAGTTCTCTCTCATTTAGTTTGTTGTTTGTGGGCAGGAATGCTATTGATTTCTGCGTGTTGACTTTGTATCCTGTTATGCTACTGAATTAACAAGTCTTTGGTGGAGTTTTTTGGGTCTTCTATGTAGAGTATCATGTCATCTGCCAATAATAATAATTTCACTTCTTCCTTTCCAATCATTGTTTCTTTTTGTTTCTCTTGTCTAATTACTCTTAATGTTTCCAGAACTATATTGAATAGGAGTGGTATCAGTGGACATCCTTGTCTTGTTCCTGATTTTAAAGTGAAGGCTCTCTGTTTTTGTCCATTTAGTATGATATTGGCTGTTGGTTTGTCATAGATGGCTTTTATCAGGTTGAGGTAAAGACCATCTATTCTGACTTTTCTGTAGGGTTTTATCTTGAATGAGCATTCAGCTTTGTCAAATGTTTTTCTGTATCTATTGAAATAATATGATTTTTGTCTTTGACTTCATTGATATGGTGCATTTCATTTATTAATTTGCATATGTTGAAACATTCTTGCATTTTTGGGATGAACCCCACTTCATCATGATGTATAATTTTGATGATTTGCTGTATTTTTTGGTGATATCTTATTGAGAATTTTTCTACCCTGTTCTTTAAGGAGACTGATCTCGTGTTCTCTCTCTCTCTCTCTCTCTCTCTCTCTCTCTCTCTCTCTCATCTGTCTCTCCATTTCTGTTGTCTGTCTCTTTCAAAGCATTTCATTTTTAAAAATTATTTATTGATAACAGGATCTCACTATGTAGCTCTGACTCATAGTGATCCTCTTGTCTCAGCCTCCCCAGTGTTAAGTTTACAGGTATACACCACATTTCATAGAGTTTGAGAACTATTGACATTAACTATTCTCTGAATTTCTTATAAATTTCAGCAGTGAATCCACCGGGACCTCAGATCTCTTTGTTGATACACTTTTTTTTTTGAGGTTGCCTCATGTTTATTTTATAATTTCCATTTTAAACTTAGTATTCCAATCAATATAATTTCTTATGGAATGCATAGTCTCTTAGTTCC